TTCTCTTGTGTAGCTTTGCGCCTTTCCTGGAGCTCACTTGGTAGCCCAGGCTGGCCTCGAACTCACAGAGATCCGCCTGCCTCTGCCTCCCGCCTTGATGTCTTTTAACAACAATAAAACCCTAACTTACGCTGTGGATAACTGGCCTAAAGCTGCAGACCTGTGTTCTAAGACAAAGGTGAAGTGACCAGGCATTGGCAGTGGATAAGAGGAGGGGAACTCAGAGAATAACAAATTTCCTAAAATAAGAGTTTGAGTAGGACTCAGAGTTTGTGCTTGCAGAGCACAGAGAGAGGACAGAGAGGCACAACATCTCAGCAGCACGAAGCTCATGGTGACCAGTAAATATTAAAAGGAGGGAAACTTAGTCACCATTGACCATTTTATTTTGAAGACTGAAGTTTACAGTTATTATAGGGTGATTCTCCATGGTGAATCCAACCAGGGTGGGCCAAAGAAATATCTGAGTGGGTGAAGGCACTTGCTTCTAAGCCTGACATTTTGAGTCAATCTACATGTCTCACACAGTTCAGAGATAGTCCCAACTCCATCATGCCTTCTAACTTCCATAACTCTACAGTAGGATTTTCCTATGAACAGAGCAATAAAATGAGAAAGGAGGGCTGGGGACATGGCTCAGTGGTTAAGTATACCCGCTCCAGAGGACCTGAGTTCCATTCCCAGTGGCAGTATTAGATGGCTTCACCACCAACTTTCTGTAACTCCAGCTCCAGAGGACTTCACAATATCCGTTGGTGCCAGAAGACTCCTCCACACAGTTTGTACAGAACTATATGCATATATAAAATAAAATAAATATTACAAAAATAAAATGAGAAAGGGATTGCCCAGGGATTCTAGAGATAGCAAACAGAGAATGCATCCCCCACTCACAAAATGCTCTTAGTTGTGAGCAGACCTGAAAGCACTTGGCTTGACCATTCATAAACCTGAGAACACCATTCCACACAGGGTGAATGACTTGTTCAGGAGCACTAACTGAAAAGATGCCATGTCACATGGCTTCTCTCCACCAAATTCTGTAGAACCACCCAGACACTCACACTGAAGCTAAGGGATAAACATGTCTGCTTAGGACATAGGCCCAGTGTTCCATGAAATGTAAAAGGACCAAGATTTCTCTCTTTAATCTCTGGCCATAGTTTTGATTTATTTTTAAAAGAATTTTACAAGATCTGTTGACATCCATGAGTGTTTTGCCTGCATTTATGTCTGTATACCACTTTCATGCAATGGATGCAGAGTTCAGGAGAAGCATTGGTTCCCTAGAGTTGGAGTTATGGTGAGCCACCCTCTACATGTTGGGAATTGGAATCTTTTATCGGAATTCACCCTGCTGAGAGCACGATGTATGTTGGGGTAACTCAGCAAAGGATCAGAACTTTCCCAGATTGTCTGGATATCACTATAAATACAGCCCTAAGAAACTTGGGACTCAGGGAGAGTCTAGATAACAGAACTATGGAGTTTTTTATTAAGAAATTTTCTATTAATTTAACATACCAACCATAGATCCCCCTCTCCTCACTCCTCTCAGCCCCAGTATTCACCCCCTTACCCCTGCATCATCCCCACCTCCTCCAAAGCAAGACCTCTTATGGGGAGTCAGCAGATCCTGGTATCTTTAGTTGAGGCAGGTCCAAGCCCCTCTCCCTGAACCAAGGCACTGTGAGGTGTCTAGCCATAGGCACTGGGATACCAAAAGCTTGCACATGCACCAGGGAATGATTCTGATCCCACTGCCAGAGACCCCTTAAATCAGGTTAAGCTACACAACTGTCTTGCTTATGGAGAGGGCCTAGTCCAGTCCTATAGAAGCTTTAGTTTCAGAGTCAGGGCATGTTTCCTTGGTTCTGGGTATGGGGATAAAGTGTTCATTTCTCTGGCACAGGTCCCAAACCCAGGCTGTGTTTCTTTCCCTGGTGCTGGGCCCCAGAACCAGGGTGCTACCTTCCTGCTTTGTGATTAGTTGGTTTTACAAGTCAGATGGCCAGGAGCAGAAATAGCTCTGATTTGAACCAAACTGTGTTTCTTTCACTGGCTTTATCTGAGACATCTTTCCCTAGTTCTGCTCTCCAGGGTCAGGGTAGGTTTCTTTAGCCATCCCCCTTTCTCTACATCTGTAATTTCTTTCTTTATTTCTTCCTTGACCCATTGGTGATTCAGTTGAGCATTATTTGGTTTCCATGAGTTTGTAGGCATTCTCATATTTGTGTTGTTGTTGAATTCCTAGTTTAAGCCATTGTGATCTGATAAAATACAGGAGGTTGTTCAATTTTTTTTTAATCTACTGAGATTTACTTTGTGACTGAGCATATGGTCAGTTTTAGAGAAAGTTCCATGGGGTGCTGAGAGAAGGTATATTCTTTTCATTTGGGTGAAATGTTGAGTAGATATCTCTTAGGTCCTTTTGCATCATAACATCTGGTATTTCCTCTATTTCTCTCTTTAGTCTCTGTCTGGCATAGCCGTCCATCGTTGAGAGTGGGGTGTTGAAGTTTCCTACTATTACTGCATGTGGTTTGATATGTGATTTAAGCTTTCTTATTTTTTTTAAATACATGGGTAGTCTTGTATTTGGGGCATAAATGTTCAGAGTTGAGACTTCATCTTGATTTTTCCTGTGATGAATATGTAATTTCTTTCTCAATCTCTTTTGATTAGTTTGAAGTCTATTTTGTTATATATTAAGACAGCAACACCAACCTGCTTCTTAAGTCCAATTGGTTGGAAAGTCTTTTATTAACCCTTTACTCTGAAGTAGTGACTGTCTTTGAAGTTGAGGTGTGATTTTTGCATGCATCAGAAGGATAAATCCTGTTTTCATATCCATTTTGTTAGCCTGTGTCTTTTTATAGGCAAATTGAGTCTATTGATATTAAGGGATATTAATGACCAGTGATTGTTTATTTCTGCTACTTTTAGTGGTTGTGTGTGTGTGTGTGTGTGTGTGTGTGTGTGTTTCTCTTCTATGGTATTTCTTGGTGTACAATTATCTGTGTTTTTCTTCATGCATCTAAATTCCTTACGTTGGATTTTTCATTTTTAGTGCTTTCAGGAAGACTGAATTTGTGTTAGGTATTATCTAAATTTTGTTTTGTTGCAGAATATCTTCTTTACTCCATCTATGATGAGTGAGATTTTTTTTCTGGGTATAATGGTCAGGGCTGACATCCATGGTCCCTTAGCATGTGCATAACATCTGTCTAGGATTTCTGACTTTCAGAGTTTCCATTGAGATGTTGGGTGTTATTCTGATGGGTCTGCCTTTATAAGTTACCTGGCCTTTTTCCTTTGCAGCTCTTAATATTCCCTCTTCATTCTGTATGTTTAATGTTTTGATTATTATGTGGGGGGGGACTTTTATGGTCCAATCTATTTGGAATTCTGTAAGCTTCTTGTATCTTCATAGGCATTTCCTTTTTTAGGTTGGGAAAGTTTTCTTCTATGACTTTGTTGAATATATTTTCTGTGCTTTTGAGCTGTTATTCTTCTCCTTCTATTATCCTTATTAATCTTGGGTTTGTTCTTTTCATAGTGTCACAGATTTTCTGGCTGTTTTGTGTTATGGCTTCATTGACTTAAATGTTTTCTTTGACCAACTTATTTATTTCCACTATTGTACCTTCAATTCCCCTAGATTCTTTCTTCCATCTCTTGCATTTTGTTGGTTATGCTGTCATCTATGGTTCCTGTTCCTTTACTCAGATTTTTCATTTCAAGTATTCCCTCAAATTGTGTCTTCTTTCTTGCCTCTATTTCAATTTTCAAGTAATGAGCTGTTTCCTTCACATGTTTGATTATTTTTTCTTCACTTTCTTTAAGGGACTTATTGGTTTCTTTCAATTTTTTTGTTTGTCTTTTCCTTGATTTCTTTAAGAGCATTTTTCATTTCCTCTTGAAAGGTCTATTTCATATTAGTAAAGTCATTTTTAAGGTCATT